TTTCATTAACATTTGCAAATCAATGCAGCAAAGCATTAGATGTCTCTGTGACAAAACCAAACAAAGCAAAAAAACCAAACAAGATATCAACACTATTGGTTAATAGGTAAGAACAATGAAAAGTCTAAGAGTAACTTACTTGGGATTTCTCAAAAAATGTTAAGTTCATAAGAATAAAACATCAGATCAGAAGTTGCATGAAAAATATGATTGAATGAGAACATAATAAAAAAGCATAAGAGGTATCTTGGCAGAAATAGAAGTATTCCCATGTTGCCAAAATACAGGTTTCATTTTAGGTGGCAGCAGTAGAGGAATGATATCGATTTCTCTCCATCCATTCTCCCACCAGAGAGAAATACATTGTGAAAGATTTTGCTGAGGAGATCTTAAGGTATGCAGTTAACAAATCCCACATCATACAAATACAGTAGTCTGATGCACAACTATCATCCATTTCTTGATAAAGACAGCTGATGAACGAGAGGACAGAAGCCATCACGTGGGTCACCGACGGTATCACCAAACACTTAACCACTTTTCTTTACTGAATTGCTTTGACAGCATGATATGGAATAGTATTCTGTCCATCTCACAAAGCTGTATTGTATTAAGTGTTATTCTTTCAATGCTGTTCTACCAGCAGTTGGCTGATGCATCCAGTCCAGGAGGTGACTGCCTCCTAAGGTGGTCCTTACCACTCTCAGCTATTTCCCAGCGCCAAAAGCCTCAATTAGCAAGGTAACTTGGAGAGATACGCAGTGTCATTCTGGGTTGAGTTCAATCAGCTGGTGAGGACCGGAGCCTATAGAAGAGAGGGCAAGGTGGGGTGGTGCAGGGGAGGGCAGGGCAGGGCAGGGGATCACAGGGTGATGGAGGGCATTGGTCTCCCTCTGCTTCTTCTGCCCCACGCGCCCACAGAGTGAGCAGCAGACGCCCTACCCGCAGCAGCCATCTCGCTCCCGGTCCCGCACTGCGGACCCCTCAGCCCGCGGCCTCAGCGCCGAGCAGGGCGCTCTGCGTGGCGGCAGTTGCCATGGTTCCCTCCTGCTCTTCAGCCTCGGCTCGGCCTCTCCCGCCATGGAAGAATAAACAGTGGAGATTGTAAGCTGCCTGGAGCCCAGTCTCGCACAGACATCAAAGAGAAACACCAAGCCGTACGGTGTGGCACGCCACGTCCAGGCGCGCTCCGTTTGGTGGCCGGGACAGGCACGGCGCTGTGAGCGCGGCCGACGGCGCGGGGACCCGTTCCCGAGGCGGCTCCGCGGAGAAACGACCCCGTAGCGCTCGGGGCTGAAAGCGAAAGGCAGCGACGCCGGCAACACCGCGGCCCTCGAGTGAGGGACGGCGGGCAAAGCCCGCCACTTCCGCTGCGGCGCAGGAAGGTGCAGGAAGCGGGAGCGGCGCCCGGCCCCCGCGGACCCCTCGATTCTCAGCGCCCCGTGCAGGGCGCTGCGCGGAAGGTGCCGGGGCGGCGGGGCGGCGCGCCTTGTTGCCGGCAGAGGGCGCCGCGGCTGCACCATACGAACTCCTGCTCCGGGGGTGTCGCCGGGGTAGCGGTGCCGGGATGGGACGGGGCTGCAGAACGTGGAGACCTCGCCCTGTGAACGCCCGAAAGCAGCCGCGTGTACAGGCGACCTGTAGACGAGAACGATTGTCGGGTACTTTAGGTTGCAAAGAGCGCTAAAAACGCTGAGCCCCGTGACCGCGTGCCGTGCGATGCTGCAACACGCGGGGCGCGCACAGCAGCGTCCCACGGGTGGTGGTAGGCAAAGACGGCGTTTGGGGAACCATAAAAGGTTGCACAGCTTTTGCACTTCCACTGAACTAAGTCATCAGTAAGAACTTCTTAATGTGCATTTAAGTAAAAGGAAATATACTGCACAAATGTACTTCATGTAAATTAAATGAAGAAATGCTTTCTTAAGCCCTACTCTGGTCACCAGTCTGACCATCAGGACTTCGGCAGACACGTGTTACCTGTCAATGGGTATACACGGGGAAATGACAGGAAGGTGGGCTGACAAAACAAGGCATACTGGAACGTTTCAGCTGAGTGTAATGGCAGATGCTGGACGTCACATGTAGAGAACCCACAGGTACTGTTTTTTCTTTTTCTTTTCTTTTTTTTCATTTCTTTTCTTTCCTTTTTTTTTTTTTTTTTTTTTTTTTTTCTAGCAAACAAACAAGCAAGCAAGAAACTCACAGCGGCAACGGATCAGGAAGGTATTCTGGAAGGGCAATTTGACCTGTGCTTACGCCGATGGTCTCTAAATTAATGGCAAGTACTCAGAAACAAGGCTGGAATGTTCTTGTACGTGGCATTTTGAAAACATCCGGATGCTCTATGGCAACAAGAAGCACCTGCGAGGCACTCCATCGCTAAGGACAGGATGCTGCTGCAGATGATTTGCTGCGGGAGCTGTGGGCTCAGGTGCTGCTGGATTCTGTCAGAACATCACAGAGAGTATGTCTCATGCAGAGAGGACAGAGAGTGACAATAAAAATCCTTACACCTATGAAAGGAAGCGATTCAAGTCTGTGATATAGAGATGTAAGGAGAGATGCGGAGATGATGAAGTGGTTAGTGGTTCCCCAGCTTCTGTTGGCTTCCGAGCAAGAGTGCTGAGGGCTCAGTGTGCTTAATGATGTGCTCTACTCCCCCTGTCCGCCTCACTTTTAATTTCCTGTGGCAGCATGTAGCACTAAAATGTCTCACAGACAATGGGTTGCTATGAGCCATGAGCTGGAGATGGCTTGCATAGAGCACTATGAAATTATTAATGTTATGGGGAAAGCTTATCGGGAAGTATCTCTGCAGGATTAGGTGGCTCTATGGATGGTGTCTATGGATCATAATTACCTGTACGGGTAATAATGGCATCTGTCATTTACTCATAATTCCTATTAAGATAAAATATTTATAAACGGTATTTCATGTTTCAAAACAAACGCTGACCATTATGAAGATGAGGACTGGAGAGAAACTTCCTCATAGGTTTATTATCATGTAATTGTCCATAATGGGGGTTCTTCTGCTTTCCACTAAGTCAGAGAGCATGGGGCAGAGCAGCTCTCAGTGACTCTCTGCTGGTGCTGGAGCCAGGCAAGAAAGCACCTCCATTAGAAACCTGAAGATACTTATCCAGTAGAGATTAAAATTCAATGATGTCAGTGGGAACTGCACATACAAATTACATTTATGGCCTCCTGGGTGTCTTTTCTCATTAAAAATGCAGAATTAAATGACAGTTTTGTGTTTGAGGTACACAGAGCACTGTGCATAGAACAGAGTTGGTTAAGAAAGTTGAGTCAGACTTCATCACCCAGGGATTGCCTGATGACTGCAGTGCCCTCAGGCCGATGGATGAACGGTTCACTTGTGGGTCACAAACTTATTGACCCATTCATTCGGATCCTTGGTGCAGCCCTGGTGCAGACGTTGCTAACCCAAACACTGTGTGCCACGTTCTATGCTGCACTGCTGCACATACAGAAAGTCTCTTGCCACCTATTTTCAGACTGTAGGTCTGGTCTTTAGAGAAGGGCTCTGATACAATTAATATTACAAAGAATTTCTTCCCCTTTGGTCTCTTGTTAACATTATGTAAAAAAAAATGCAAGTTGTATCTAAAATTCAATCTCTAGAAATCTTCACTGAATTTAACATTAAGACATTAACCCAGGGACACTGGGTAGACAGACACTGGGTAGACAGACAAATACATTGCTATACTTATGTACACATAGGTTTTGTAATAGTATCATTTCTGATTAATAACTGAGACATGTTGATTTGCAGGGACAGAGAATCATAAAACCTTTCTGAGTTGCACTGACCATTCCTATGTATCGGACATAAAATCCTACCTGAAGCTAGGTAGAAAACGTTCTTTTTCTAACGCAATGACAAACACGTTTTGGGCTCTCCAAATTAACTGACTGCATTATGGGGCGGATGATTGTGCTCTCCGCTTCCATCTCCACCGTGTCCCGCACAATGCTTGCACTGCCAGTCCGTGCGCGAAGCGTTCGGAACGCGCCCGCGGACCCACAGCCGGCGGTGGGGGTGCAAAGGGCACCGCGCGGGGAGGGTGGAGGAAGGCCTCGCAGCCGCCCCGCAGCCGGCTCGGAGCGGGCACGGTGCTGCGGCGGACAGCGCGCGGCGCGTCCCTCCGGGAGGGCCGAGGGCCGACGGCGGGGTTTTGGTGCGGGCAGTGCGCGGTGCCGCTGGTTTGCGGCTTTTCTATGCCGCAACACGACATCCATCCCCACGCTCGCGTTTCCCTGTGAAGGGGGACAGGCGGCTTCCCCCCCCCCCCCCCTTTCCCTCCCCGGGAATTTCAGCGTTTCCCCTCTCCCGAGAGCCGCAGCCGAGAAGGACGGTGGAGGATCGCGGTGGAAATGTCCGTCAGCTCCCAGCACGAGGGCGGCGATGCGCCCGAGAAACCGCGCGTCCCCACAGAACGGGCCGCAGCGGCGGCTGGCCGCCAGCAGCCGCCTTCCGCTCGCCCCCTTGTCTTTCCCCTTTCCTCCTCTTCCTACTCCTCCTCCTCCGCTGCCGCCAACGCCGCGGGGGCGCCCGGGGGCAACGGGGGGCCACCAAGCTGCCCTGCGCTCCCGGCCGCTCGCCCCCCGCGTGCGGCGGTGCGGGGGGGGGGAGTGCGTGGGAGCGGCGCTCCGCCATATTCCTGCCTCACCACGCCCGCGGAGCCGAACCATTGAAAAGCCGGGCGAGCCCGGCCCCTGCTGTCTCCTCTTCCCCTCCGCCGGCTGCTCTCCTCCCACCCCTTCTCCCGTCTTCCCTGTCAGGGCCGAGCCGAGCCGCGGTAGCTCAACGGCAGCGGCCGTCCCCGCCAGAGGGGCGGGCGAGGAAGCTCCCCCGCCGGGCGCGGCCGAGGTCGCTGAGCTCCGGCTCCAGCTCCAGGGCGAGGGCAGCGGCCGGGCGATGCCCGCGCGGAAACTCGGCGGGCGCTAGCGCTCGGCTGCGGGCGGGGTGGGCGCCGGGGAGTTCGGGGCTCGGCCGGGGAGCGCCGCTGCCGCCGCGGTGGAGGCGTCCTCGCTGTTCGGTGCACGATTGAGAGGAAAGGAGGTGTTGGGAGCGGTGGGGATCCGAGCCGCCCTGCCTCTTTCTTCGCCCGCGTGCGGCATCGAAGCGGTCTCCGCGTCTGCCCTGCGGTGCGCGGTGCGGGCTCCGGCCGGTGCGGGCGTGCGAGCGAGTGAGTGAGTGCGTGCGATTTTAGGGGGTGGGGGCTGTGGGTGAACCAGTTAGGAAGAATGACTCTGGAGTCCATCATGGCGTGCTGCCTGAGCGAGGAAGCCAAGGAAGCCCGGCGGATCAACGACGAGATCGAGCGGCAGCTGCGCCGCGACAAGCGGGACGCGCGCCGGGAGCTGAAGCTGCTGCTGCTGGGTGAGTGCGGCTTGGCGCCGGCAGGCCTGACCCGGCTTGGCGCGACGCGGGCCGTTCCCGGCTGCCTCCGGGGAGCGCACCGGGGTCCCCTCGGTCGGGCCTGGGGCGGCGGCGGGGCCGACCCGGCTCGCCCGGGCTCTCGCCTCCTCGGCCGCGGCCCTGCCAGAGAGCCGCCGGCCCTGCCCCCGTCGCCGCGGGGCGTGGGTGCCCGCCGCGGTAGGCTCGGTGCGGGAGGGAAGCGGCCTCCAACATGGAGCTGAGAGCGAGGGACGGGAGGGGCGGGAGTCGGGGTAATGGGGAGCACGGGGGGAGCTGCCCTGTGCGGCGCCGGGAACAGGCGTTCGTTTCGCGGCCGCTGGCTCGCTTGGCGCATTTTTGTTTGTTGTGATTTGTATTTAACGAGGTAAACTGGGATAAGGGGTTGTGCTGGGGTTGTAGAGCAACGTTACAAACGGAAAAGAAACCACGAAGGCTAGCGTGCAGGCGAGGAGATGGGAGCAACCTGAGGCGTGCCGAGGATGACAGGATCCTGTAGTACTTTTGGAGCCCACCCACCCGTCACGAAAGAAAATCCTTGGCGCTGTATGTCTCTCATTAGAACGGTAGCTGTTGTTTTGGAGCTCCAAGTATGCAGCTGCGATACTTATCTAGTAGGAATTTGGCTTCTGTTAAAATGAGCCTTTTAAATTAAAATGTGTTTATCCGCATCCTGTGTTCTGGCTGTGCAATCGCTGCCCGGGGCTCAAGATGTGCCCTCACCAGTGCCAGGAGTTCTGGGGGAGGGCTGCTCTCATGACCTGTACGTGCGGCAGGGAGCGGGACAGAGTTAGCCGGTGCTTCCCTGTGCAAGTGCCGTTTGCTGCTCTGTGAGATTCACTGTGTCCTCCCACACGGTGGAAGGTTTGGGGCTCCTCAAACTGACACGGACAGTGGTGGAGGTGGATATGACTGGCACTCACAGTAATGGCATTCTGTTTTCTTTCTGGGCTGGTTCTGCCTGGTGACTGTTGTGGCTGGTTGGGAATTCACAATAAGAATGAACTAGGCTAGATACCATCCATACAGTTGAACAAATGCAAGCTTAAGTATAATTACTGGGTGATGTACATTCACTACAGCAGAGGCAACTGGCATACCAGGCTTGTTAACTCAGGTCCAAACTTTTTAAGTGTTTCCATGCTTTTGTTGCAGTTTTTCTCCCAAGCTTTCAAAGCTGCGAAATGTACATTGAGTGACACCTGTTATCTGCCCAGAGAGCCCACTTACCCAATGCCACAGGATATTTGCTGACACAGGGCAGACAGGGAGCTCCCTGGGCAATAGTGGCTCACTGGGCTGCTTGCAGGAATGCTTTCTGCTGGTATAGGTATATTGTAGAACCACAGAATGGCTTAGGTTGGAAGGGACCTTAAAGCCCATCCAGTTAGAACTCTCTGCTGTGGGCAGGGCTGCCACCCACCAGCTCAGGTTGCCCAGGCTCCATCCAGCCTAGCCTTGAATACCTCCAGGGATGTGGCAGTCACAGCCTCTCTGGGCAGCCACTGTCAGTGCCTTGCCACGTCTAATCTAAATCTCCCCTTTTTTTTTAGTTTAAAGCTGTTCCCTTTTGTCCTGTCATTATCTGCCTGTGCAGAAAGTTGGCCTCCCTCCTGTTTATAAGCTCCCTTCAAGTACCGGAAGGCTGCAGTGATGTCTCTCTGAAGCATTCTCCAAGCTGAACAAGCCCAGCTCCCTCAGCCTTTCTTTGTAGAGGAGGTGGTGTAAGCCAGGTGTTCTGATGTGCCGGGAGAGATGTAAGCAAGAGGTGCCAGAGACTAGGAGGGGTGGGTTCGATGTTCCGCTGGGCAGCATCTCTGGCTGTCTTTGGGTAACAAAACTGGAACAGACATCATTACTGTGTGCACATATATTTTTTTTTTTTTTTGTGTGTGTGTGTGTCACGCTGTTGTGTTGGGCTGGAAGTGTGTGTGCCTCTGCAGCTGTGTGGATTAACACTTAATGATCTCATCTTGTGAAATGCAGATAGTGGTGAACCACTGTTGAAGTCGTGGCATTGGGTAGAGGTTCAAGCTTCAATTTATAAACAAATTTTGAGGAGAAGTTTTCTGAATAGTGGTTTATTTTAGGTGCATGACTGGACTCTTTCTAGTCACTCTCACCGCTTCCCCAGCATCAGCAGTGCCTGGCTGGTGAGAATGTGGTCTCTGTGTGAGTTATTCATAGGAGAGTGAGAGAGACGGAAATTTTATAAGTAGAAAATATTTATTAAAAGCTGTGAGACCGGCAGCATGACAGATGTCTGAAATTAAAGTTCTGTAATGAGACAGTAGAGCTCTTGCTAATTTAAAAATAAAAGGTGTCTTTCCCCCTCAAAACCAAAAGGACTAGCATGCTAATATTGCTTAATTTTGTTATATTTAAACATAAGCAAACTCTTATTTTTTCTAAAAGTTCCGACGTCTGGGTCCCTCTGTGTGGTGTGGAACTGAGAAGCCTAAGTGGGTTAAAGGCTTTTGAAAATGAGACTAAGGTGTATCCCCTGGCTCGAAGGAGAGAGCTAGCCCAGCTTACACTGAGCTGTGCTAATTGGCCACGCATGTTCTTCTTCACTTGCAATAAGCTTGTGCTAAAGCTATTAACCTAAAAGGCTTTAAGGCACAGATAAGCAAATCTGTGCTGGATTTTTGCTTCCACGCTTGAAAGTCAGATGTATGTACAATGTGAGGGGAAAAAAAGATAGCATTTTTGGATCAGAGGAGAAGTTCTGGGTTTTCTGGTGTTCTTCACACATTCTGCCCACTCACCCCTTCACCGCACTCCAGCTGTTGGCATTGCAGTGCTTCCCTGCAGAGTGAGTTAGTTTTTTCCTTTCTCTCCTGGCTGTGCAAGTTACCATTTCTGAGTGGCATGCACATACTGTGCCAGGTGTGCCCTGTGTATGTATTAATAATGATATCTTTTTTCTTTTTGTGGAGTCAGAGTTCAGTACGCTAAGTAATTTCTGGAACACTTTTACTGCATACTAAGATTATTTTTAAGTGTTAGTTTAAAAAATAAACCTCCTCTGCAATCAAACATTAAAATACGGCATCTGGGTGCTTTACTGTACATCTTTGCTTCATTTTTGGGACAGGTGGGAACAGGAAAAAGTGTTGAGTTTCTTGTTAGTTTTTTACTGTTGTAATTCTAAAGAGACAGAACTTGAAAAGTACACTGAAGAATGTTACAACAGCATCATAGTAGTTCTGCTAACAGAACTTGGCTGTAATATTTAAGGCACTTTGGAACAAAATCAGTCTTCCACTGAATTTGGTTTTAATCCCATGTATTTTTCAGATTCTTCTGGATTTCATTACTGCTGAATGCTTTGTACAACTGTATGATTGTTCTCCAGAGCTTTAAGTTGTTAATATCCATCCATTGTTTGCTGCTAGCTGTAAAAACACTTACATTAGTTTTATAAGTGGGAAGAAACGGGGTGTTTTAATGCGTTGTATTGGTATATGCCAGACAAGATGCAGAGCATTCTTCATGTTTGTGTTTTAAGTGTGCATTTACATACTTGAGCATACCTAAGCTCCATGTTTTCTGTGTATTGTTTTGACTGTCATCCATGGAAATTTTGCTGGGTCTCAGAAAGCAGCACCTGAGGCTAAATGATTGTAGCCATAAGCCTTCAGTTCTGGACATCCCTGACTGTGTGCTGCATTTGTTTACACTACATGCTGTTTTCTCAGAGCATTTTCTGAAATGTTTTTAAATGTCTAAAAAAGGTAATTCAACACTACCATATTAGCTGGCTATCCAGAAACCTCGGCCAGGTGAAGTGTTGGAGGGGCTGACAGCATATCTACTGTTTAATGTCCTATTTGCTGGCAGTGTTAAGTGCAAAACACATTTTTAAGAAGTGGTTGTCCCTTCTGTCCGAGATAACAGAGGTGCAGTGCTGAGAGCTGACTGATATTCATTGTCTGTGTGTTGGAAAGGAAGCAGGTAGAAGATAAGCCATGTGCCTTAGCATGGATGGCAGCTGGTCTGATGTGGAAAGGAGCTTCTGGGCACCTGGTGAATATCCAGTAAGCATGCAGGATATATATGTATTTGCTTTCCTAGGCCACTTTCAGCTGAATTAAAGAATCATGTGCTACTCAGTGAATTAGCAAGGGCTTCAACTTTCTTTAGATAACTCCAGGAGGAAGTGAGCCCATTAAGTCAACAATGAAGCACGCTGGTCTTATATAATCTTTTCCTCAGCTGGAGAAACAAGCAAGCTTCCTTATTTTTACTGTAGCTGAGCTGCTCTGTGTGGTTTAGTTGAGCAGGACAGGGTGGCAGTTTCTTAACAGATGTTGCAGTAAATCTCTGCTTGTGCATATATACTCAGATGTGTGTTTAGAAGTATGTGAAAATGAGAATTCTGTGAAGCCACACATAAATGAATTTCCTGTTTACATTATATACATCGACTAAATCTCAGAGGTCTGGTCACACTGTTTGACATGTTCTTTTTCCCTTTTTTCCTGAACATTTGTTGCAGATACTAAGCTGCTCAGAAACAGATTTCTGCTATGTGAAAATATGACTAGCCAACTAGAGCAAGTGACATAATAGAAATGTGAATATTTAACAGACATACTTTGTATGGCTGTAGATGTAAACCTTCTTACCATTGAGCTTGAGGACATAAATCTCAGACAGTAATTTTCCAATCACATTCATTCAAAATTCTTCGAAGAAAAAGGTCAGAGAATACACACAAGTGTAGTTTGAGGTGTTATTTTTATAAACCTCTGAAGTAATCAAAGACTTTTTGTTGTATCTGTTTCAGTGCTTTGCTCTTTGAAAGAGCATTGTACAGTAGAGAGGCTCAAGTACACCTTGAGTATGTCAAATTATGTCCTCCTGTGGTGAAGATATTAACTGTGTTTGAGAAAATGACACAAATGTACTCATTCTCTGTGTTTTTGGTAGGCTGTTTTGCAGCTACTTATCTCGATATC